GTGCATAGGAATTTGTTCAGAGTCCGGCCCTCCAACGGTCTGAGGGACAGTGAACTGACCCCCTGTTTAAAAAGCTTGAGGACCCCTGCCCTAGAGGTTCCCGCTGACCACTGGGTCATCGTGCTGGGCTTTTCTCTAGTTCCTTGGATTGTCAGAGCAGACACACGCCAGGACGCAGAAGCGGGAGCCGGGTACCCACACACGGCCGGCTGTCCTGCCGGTGCGGTTTTCCTGCAGTGGCCCACCTGCCCATCGACATGAGTTGATCTGGTTGCCTGGAGCCTCACTCTGAGTTAATGTCGTCAGAGGTCACTGACAATGACCCCAATCCCTTTCCTTGGTCAGATGTGACAATTCAAAATATGTCCCAAATGTACTACGGGTTATTTCCAAAATTACACCTCCTTTGGCTTTTCCACACCGAAATTCACACATCACTTTCCTCTCCCACCTGAGGGTCTTCTTACAGACCATCAGCCAGGGTACAATATCAAAGGCAGACGTTCTTTAATCCCACAGTCACCAGTCATTTTGTCAGATCCTTCCAGAAGTTCCAGGTGGGTGCCGCCTGGTCCTGGTGCCACCCGGTCACCCACCTAGACCCCCGACCTCTCTCCAAATCGACTCCCCTCCTCTCGCACCCACACCCTCCCAGCCTGTGTCCCTCTGCATTGGAAACCGTCCTTGCCGGGCGGCATTCTGCCTCCACTGTGACAAGCCCAACAGGCAGGTTCCACCTTCGTCATCTTTCTATGCCAGCACCCATCACAGAACTTACCTCATGGCAAGCAGTCCATTAAGTGAATTTAAGTGAATTTAGGACATCGAAAAATTTCTGTACAATTTCTCTAATTTTAAAGAAAGCCTGAAATCTTTTGATCAGGTGAGACTTGCACGTTTACCTGGTTCCAATTTGCCTCTGAGCAAGGACTCTGACATTGCAGCCCTCAGAAATGAACATCGCGCTTCTGCTTGCAAGCAGGGTCAGGGGCGGTCTGTCACTTCAAAGGACAAAGGATCTTGCTGCGTGTCCCGATCCACCGGTGACTCTTCACGTGCGCCAACACTGGCCCACGCACCTCCATCCCCCACCCCTGATCTGCAGCTCCGAGTATCCGCGCCAGGCCCCGAGTGTCTGCAACTGCCCCCTCCCCGCCGACTTGGGTGAAGTGTCTTCTCCAGCGAAACCCTCTTCGCACCCCAGTAACCCTGTCCTGGCGACACAGCACCCATCGACCAGTCCTTAGCGGTAGTTCCCGGAACGGAAGAGCCCAGCAGAAAGGCCCTGGCGAGGCAGGGGTGGGACCGTTCTCTGTGTGCCCAACACAGCTCTTCCGTGGTCAAGGCTGGGCACAGAGGCAGTGAGACCAAGTCCCCTGCCCTCTGACAGGTGCAACTATTGGCAACGAAGTTAAGAATTTGCTCTGATACTCCCAGCAGATCAAACAGCCCATTTGTGGGCTTGGAATGGGAACCCTCCCATCTTCCTCAGTTGGATAAAGAAAAGGAGGGATCATTTGTGATGGTCTGAGTGTCTGTGTCCCCCAAATTTCGCATGTTGAAACCTAACACCCCACGTGGTGTATGAAGATGTGGTCTCGGGCAGGTGGGAATGGGACCAGTGTCCAGGGGCCCGAGGGCGTCCACCCCTTCGAGCTCATGAGGACGCCACAAGAAGGTGGCATCTATGAATCAGGGCCCTCACCTGACACGGAACCTGCTGGAACCCTCATCTTGGACTTCCCAGCCCCCAGATCTGTGAACAGTAAGCTGCTTAAAAATTACCCAGCCTGAGGTATTTTGTGGTAGCAGCCTGAGAGGACTAAGACAGCATCCTCGTCGTAATCTTCATTTCACCAACTTCTCCTCTTCATAAAGGAGCTCCATCCCATGTTACCCACGTTCCTAGAAAACTTCTAGAACTCCCCTTCCCTAGAAGCTGCCCTAGCCCCTTGTGGCTCCGCTCACAGGAAACCAGACCATCCAAGGACTTGTCATGCTGGCAGAGACCAGGGCACCCCACATTTTCTTTCAGTAGTTTTGCCAATTCCTCGAATAATACTCACCTTTCAGAGGGAAGACCGAGCACACCAAGAGCACAGATTAGGGATGCACTGCTGCTGTTCCGGACAGCACAGAGGAGGGGGATAAAGGTTCTGTCACACATGTGCCGACCTGTTTTGTTCTACACAGTTGTAGAACAGGTGTGTGTGTGTGTGTGTGTGTGTGTGTGTGTGTGTAGCACGGTGCCCAGCTTCCGCGGCCAGCATCACACAGGGAACGCTACAGACACGTGACCACCGTTGTCCACCCACCCCCAGCAGCCGAGGGGACCTCCAGAGCAGCGCGCAGTAGGACCTCAGCCCTACCGGGGTGAGCAGGACGGGGTGGGAAGAACGAAACGCTGCTCTGGCGTAGGGAGGCACAGGGCTGTGGAACGCCGGGCCTGGGGAGGTGCCTGGGACGTGGCCGCAGGAACGTCACCTCGCCCACGCGGCGTTACCTGGGGCGTCCCCACATCAGTGACACGGAAGGAGATCTGGGCTGGGGGTCTCGTGTTGTCGCGTGACAAGAGCTATCAGCTCTTCATTTACACGTCAACCACCTGCTAAGGAACCGGTGCTGCCGCTTTCCTACGCAGGGCGTGCGACCTTTCCCGTGAGAGCCAGGCGGCCGAGAGGAGAGAGGTTCTCAGCGGCGTCGCGAACCTGAGTTGGACGGGGTCAGTGCTGCGGCCTGCACGACCCATAAGCCCTCCAGAAACTCCTTCCAGACGGCATTGCCAGCCCAGAGTACACGGGGCGGAACCCGGGGCTCTGCGGCTGCAGCGGCATCGGGCTCGGGAGGGGCTGAGCCATGCCCGGCGACCTTCACGCGGGCTTTCCGCCCCGCACGTTCTGGGAGCCGCGCCCAGGTACTTACCTACTTACACAATGGACGTTCCCATCCATCCACAACCTACGCTCCTCCTCTCGGCCCACAGAGTGGCCAGAGCCACCACCCAGGGGAGGCCACGGGGAGAGGGAACTTGCCCCTGCTCGGCTCAACGCGGCACCCTAAGGGAGCACCAGGCCATCAGGTCCACGCGCACCTGTGCGCTGTGGAGTGCTCGGATCACGCTCCCAGCGACCCGTGCAGGGTGGCCAGGTGCAAGGACGTGTCCTGGCATCCTGGGACAGTCCCTCACGAGACCCAGGCTCCTTTGTGTCACACAGGGACCGCAGGCTAGCCCCGGCTGCTGTTTCCCGGAGCCCCTCATCTTCAGGAAACCTCGCCCCTCTTCCTTCTCCCAGCAGACACACGGGGCCAGCTTTTAGCTTTAAAACACATTTTATCTTTTTGAGCCAAAGCCATTGCTACACCCGGTGGTCCTAAGGCCGTGTCTGCTGTCCCGTCGGTAAACCATGGCGCACCACAGGGCAGCCCCACTCCGCCGCCCCCTTCCCGGCGCAGGGATGCCGTCCCAGCGCGGCCGCTCGGGTCTCGACGTGCCGCCGCCAGCCGAGGTGAGCCGCCCTCTTTGGCTGGGGAAAAATGTCTTAACAAATCTCAAGAACTCCAAGATGTTTTTATTTATTTCAAATTCCAATAGAATATGTTTTTATCTAAATATTTTTTTATCACACAACTAGAACATTGAATTAACTTTTTTTTCAGAAATAGAGTTAAATACATCAATCTAGTTACAAATTCTAATATAAAGAGTACAAAATATAATGTTATAAATCGTATCTTAAAAAAAGGAAGTACAAATTCTATGGTCTTTTGCATTTTACTGCCTCAGAGTGTAATTAGCAAAGCTGATGAAGAATGAACATTTCCCCTGGGGCGGGTGCCACCGGGTCACCTCCCGCAGGCCTGTCACCGGGGTCCAGAGTGCGCTCACCGCGGCAAAGGCCTCACTGTCACCGGAAATCCCGGCCTGTGATTTTTTTTTCTTTCTTTGCTCAATGAGTGACACGTTCTTCAGTTAGACCTCACCAAAGTTAAAAGCAGTAAAACAACGTATGCAGAAGTGGGAAGATAAAGCTATACGGATGCAGTCCTTGCTTGCTTTCTCTACAGTATCGACACCTCCCGAAACTTGCGGGGCCGGGGGGAGGAGGGCTGCTTGTCTGTCTTGTCTTAAAGAAGGGATGTCGGCAGCGTCTCCGGCCACGGAAGCCCAGGAGGTCCTGCCTGCCACGCGCGGGCCCGCTGTCCGTGGTCCGGAAGACATTCCCATCCATCCACAACCTACGCTCCTCCTCTCGGTGGAAGGCCCACAGAGCGGCCAGAGCCGCCACCCGGGAGAGGCCACGGGGAGAGGGAACTTGCCTTGCTCGGCTCAACGCGGCACCAAGCCATCAGATCCACGCGCGCCTGTGCGCTGTGGAGTGCTCGGATCATGCTCCCAGCGACCCGTGCAGGGTGGCCAGGTGCAAGGACGTGTCCTAGCATCCTGGGACAGTCCCTCACGAGACCCACGCTCCTTTGTCTCACACAGGGACCGCAGGCTAGCCCCCGGCTGCTGTTTCCCGGAGCACCTCATCTTCAGGAAACCAGTGTCTTTCTTGGTTCAAAAAATAAGTGAATATCTTTTTAAGGGGCGTGTAAAAGTAAAACACCTAATACTTTTCAGAACCAAAAAGACAAAATTCACTAGGCTCAAAAATTTGTACTGTGTTGACAAGGATGGAATCTATCCACCTAGGGTGGCAAAAATAGAGTTTCCGGGGGGGCAGGCAAAAACAAGGATGGGTGCAGTGGATGATTTCCCAGGGAAGATACCTACTATCCCATCATTTTTCAGAGAATTTAAATGTTCATTCTTCAAATTAAGGAGTACAAGTGAACAACCTGAAAGATTTTTAGAAGCTCATTATTGGTGTGTTACTTGGAATCGCAGGTGCGGAAGAGGCGTGAGCAGGGGGTGGGGGCGTGAGGGGCAGAGGCACAGCCGGACCGGGCGCGAGCCGGGCAGTGAGCGCAGAGCAGGGGAGAGACTCGGAGAAGCTGCGGTGTAGACAACCAAACCCTTTATTGTCTAAGTTACATTAGACGCAACACTGTAAAAATCCTGTTAGGAAACAAGGAAACAGCAGACTGGCAGAGGTAGTAGAGAGTCTGTAACAGTCAGAAGGCGCCGTACAGAAGTGGATCATGCGGGAATTACCATTCGAGAAAAGCGAATCAAAACATACTGGCTAAATAAATAAGGAAACACAAATCATATTAAATACTATGGTCAAACCGACACAAACGAATTAACAAACCAATACAACACTGATGCTCAGTGAAAGGAAGGACTCCATCTCCGGCCCGCGCGGGGCGGATCTCGGAGGGTGGCGTTCTCGCAGGGTCCCCTCCAGTCTCACTACCTGGAAAGCCCGTCTCCGCGCTCCGCACGCCGTTATTTAGGCTGGCCGTCCTCCGCCGCTGTCCCGGAGGCCGGACTCCAGGAGGCCAGCGGACTCGGCCGCGCCCCTCTCCGCCCCCCAGGCCCTCTGGGAGGAGACTCGCGGGCAGGAAAGACGCCGTGGGCGCCGGCGCGCCTTCCGGGCTGCGCCTGGAACAGCAAAAATGTAGACTACGCCTTTGTGTCACTTTGGGTACAGAACGTCTCTTTAATCACTAAAACACAGGGAAACAGACAGGACCGAATCACTAGTCCCTGCACATTCCTCACTGCCACCTCTTACTTTCAGCCAAGAAAATAAAAGCCAGAAAATGCAGAAAAATTATCACTTTGGGAAAACTACTGAAATGATCCCACATAAATCAACAGAAAGATACTTTGTTTCTCAGGTGGACAGAGGACTGTGTCTCTGGCAACTATTGGCTCAGAATAACTTTACAGAACAGCCCGTGACAGTCATGTAACAGTCTCTGCACGGGACATTCCCAGTGACACCACCAACAGGCAGGTCGTTCTCGTACATACTGGTGTGAAGAGTATCAGGAAAAATAAGTAAAAAAAAATAATAATAATAATATATATATGTATAAGCTAGCCAGTTACATTGCATTGTTGCAAGTGTTGCAAAAGTAACCTGAACCGTCAGTAATTTAAACTCAGTAACAAGTAGAATCCAGAACCAAACATTAACTAATAACAAATAACAACAACAACAATAATAATAATAATAAATATAATATTAGAACAAGGAAACACACTTCAGGGTTTGTGGTGTGTGTGTGTGTTTAAACAAGTCTCGTATCAGAAGCCCATTTTCTACAAAACTGCACTAATCCATTACTGTTTTAAGTAAACTGTCGCTCTCACCAGTATTAAAGGTTAGGATAATTTCTGTACATGTAAATATATTGCTGCTTTTTCTTTTGAAAATATAGTTTCGCATGCTCGTTTTAATCCATTTCCTGCCTTAACAAATTTCACAATTTAAAAAAAAAAAAAAAAAAACCTAGTAAAGCTTTGCAAAACTTTCACAGAACATTTTCATTCAAGGCAGCAGTAACTTTTGATAATGCATAAAATCATATGTGCAAAAGTCTGAAACTCTCAGAAATATCGCCGCCACAACACAGTGCCACGGCACAGGAAAAGAAAAATATCTCTATCTGTGGATACGATTTAAACTGCGTACACTGCGTGGTTTAAGATCCTCTGTTATGGGCCTAACCCCGACTCAAAGAGCTTGCATCTGGCGTTTATGAGACACACAAGACAGAGCAGGGAATTTATGATAAGGTCCGCTCTCCTAGTGTCGATTCCCGAGCTCTCTACACAATCAAGAGGCATCAAAGCAAGTCAGTTATATAATGATTTAAAGGAAATCAGGTTCAGCAGAAGTTAATAAAGATATTCTATTACATATGTCACCCAAAACTAGGCAACCGATTTTGTTAAGGCAACTTTATTTTAAAACCTTTAAAGAAGAAGGGGTAAACAGGCAATAATTTAGTGAGACTTCATATCTTCTCCCTCGGGGGGCAGGCAAAAACAAGGATGGGTGCAGTGGATGATTTCCCAGGGAAGATACCTACTATCCCATCATTTTTCAGAGAATTTAAATGTTCATTCTTCAAATTAAGGAGTACAAGTGAACAACCTGAAAGATTTTTAGAAGCTCATTATTGGTGTGTTACTTGGAATCGCAGGTGCGGAAGAGGCGTGAGCAGGGGGTGGGGGCGTGAGGGGCAGAGGCACAGCCGGACCGGGCGCGAGCCGGGCAGTGAGCGCAGAGCAGGGGAGAGACTCGGAGAAGCTGCGGTGTAGACAACCAAACCCTTTATTGTCTAAGTTACATTAGACGCAACACTGTAAAAATCCTGTTAGGAAACAAGGAAACAGCAGACTGGCAGAGGTAGTAGAGAGTCTGTAACAGTCAGAAGGCGCCGTACAGAAGTGGATCATGCGGGAATTACCATTCGAGAAAAGCGAATCAAAACATACTGGCTAAATAAATAAGGAAACACAAATCATATTAAATACTATGGTCAAACCGACACAAACGAATTAACAAACCAATACAACACTGATGCTCAGTGAAAGGAAAAACTCCATCTCCGGCCCGCGCGGGGCGGATCTCGGAGGGTGGCGTTCTCGCAGGGTCCCCTCCAGTCTCACTACCTGGAAAGCCCGTCTCCGCGCTCCGCACGCCGTTATTTAGGCTGGCCGTCCTCCGCCGCTGTCCCGGAGGCCGGACTCCAGGAGGCCAGCGGACTCGGCCGCGCCCCTCTCCGCCCCCCAGGCCCTCTGGGAGGAGACTCGCGGGCAGGAAAGACGCCGTGGGCGCCGGCGCGCCTTCCGGGCTGCGCCTGGAACAGCAAAAATGTAGACTACGCCTTTGTGTCACTTTGGGTACAGAACGTCTCTTTAATCACTAAAACACAGGGAAACAGACAGGACCGAATCACTAGTCCCTGCACATTCCTCACTGCCACCTCTTACTTTCAGCCAAGAAAATAAAAGCCAGAAAATGCAGAAAAATTATCACTTTGGGAAAACTACTGAAATGATCCCACATAAATCAACAGAAAGATACTTTGTTTCTCAGGTGGACAGAGGACTGTGTCTCTGCAACTTTGCTCAGAACAACTTTACAGAACAGCCCGTGACAGTCACGTAACAGTCTCTGCACGGGACATTCCCAGTGACACCACCAACAGGACAGGTCATTCTCGTACATACCTGGTGTGAGAATATCAGGAAAAAATAAGTAAAAAAAAAAAAATAATAATAATATATATATGTATAAGCTAGCCAGTTACATTGCATTGTTTGCAAGTGTTGCAAAGTAACCTGAACCGTCAAGTAATTTAAACTCAGTAACAAGTAGAATCCAGAACCAAACATTAACTAATAACAACAACAACAACAACAACAATAATAATAATAATAATATAATAATTAGAACAAGGAAACCACACTTCAGGGTTTGTGTGTGTGTGTGTGTTTAAACAAGTCTCGTATCAGAAGCCCATTTTCTACAAAAACTGCACTAATCCATTACTGTATTAAGTAAACTGTCGCTCTCACCAGTATTAAAGGTTAGGATAATTTCTGTACATGTAAAATTATTGCTTTTTCTTTTTGAAAAATATATTTCGCATGCTCGTTTTAATCCATTTCCTGCCTTTACAAAATTTCACAATTTAAAAAAAAAAAAAAAACCTAGTAAAGCTTTTGCAAAAACTTTCACAGAACATTTTCATTCAAGGCAGCAGTAACTTTTGATAATGCATAAAATCATATGTGCAAAAGTCTGAAACTCTCAGAAATATCGCCGCCACACACAGTGCCACGGCAACAGGAAAAGAAAATATCTCTATCTGTGGAATACGATTTAAACTGCGTACACTGCGTGGTTTAAGATCCTCTGTTATGGGCCTAACCCCCACCACAAAGACTTGCATCTGCGTTACTAACAAAGAGGTATATAAAGCCGCCCCACCCACAGGCCTGGTGACCCCCACCCTCCGTGGACGGGGTTACTCGACCCGTGGAGGTCACCAGGCCCAACGAGAAAAGACACCTACTTGCTGGGGGGAGGGGGGAGAGGGATGCAGGGGGAGAAGACAGAAGCTTCCAGAGCATCAGCACCCCAGGGATCTAGGGTCCCCCGATCTGCTCAGGGATTCTTCTGCCACCGCTGAGGCAGGTCCGAATCCGGAGGACTCAGCGGCCGAGCAGTGTGTTAAGACGCAGCGCCTCCCCTTGCGAGCAGTTTGCAGAACGTAGCCCTGTCACAAAAAGGTCCTGAGAATGCACCAAGCCGCCCGCGTTTCTTAGTGTTAGCCGGCGCTCTTGTCCAGAGCAGAGCACACGCATCCTCCCCGGGGGCGTGTTTCCTTCGCGGGACCCCTCGGGGCACGTGGCGGGGACACGGAGCCAGCACGGGAAGTGCAGACGGCCCCGGAGGGTAATGCCACATGGAGCCTGGGGGACCCCAGCGGGGGTCCTGCCACCGGCTCCCAGGCCACCAGGCCTGACCTCCACAGCACCCGAATGCCGCCGCCGCCTCCTCTCTCATTCGCTGTCTTAAACACCCACTGAGACCAGGAGAGGCAGTAGTAGTAACATGTGAGCAGCCTCGAGCCCCCGCCGTCTGCTCGGGCACCGTCTGCATAGTCAGTCCCAGCGGGCCGGCGGCTCCTGCCACAGTGCTTACCTTCTCCTCTCTGTCCAACACACACGAGTACCTTTTTCCAGTGTCTCAAACTTGTCTCGAATAAGACAGATGCCTGGCGCCCCTGCAGCGCGCCAGGGCCACTGCTCAGCATAAGAAAATACAGGACTACGGCCGGCGAGCACACACGTGCACGCGGCATCTACACATAACTCTAGAGCATACAGCATCTCCATCCATTCCCAAGCGTCCAACGCGGAGAGGCGTCTCCCTGCGGTCTCCACTCCAGCACAGCGGCTCCAGGGTTTGAGGTGTCCGGTCGGGAGTCCCCCCGCCGTCTGTCCTTCCACCGGTGGGTGCTCGCGGTCACTAGCGGGAGGCTGCGGCAACATCGCGAAGAGGCCCGGGGGCGTCGGAGGCCTGCCGTCGGGGTCCCTTTCCGAGAGGCACTGTCTGGGCGGGACCTGTGTTAGAAGGGTCTCTCCCCTGGGTGAGAAAAAGGAAACAACAGAAAAGCTCATTTCTGCCTTTTGGTTTCTAAATGCATTTTTTCCCTATTAATTTTCTAGTCGACACCTGAGAACACGAACAGTGACCTTCACAGAGCAAACCACCCGCCAAGGAGGCAAGGATCCCCTGGCCGAGAGGCAGCTCTAAAAAACTCATTTCCAGGGATTAAGAAAGGGTGCCCGCACTTCTCCGTTTCACGCGTACGACGGCAACTGACAGCGTCTGGCCGGCTCTGGGGAAAGCGCTGAGAGACGGCGGGATGGGATCAGGGAAGGATTCCGAAAGGCAAAATTCCACAGCACAAAACAGATTTGCAAGTGAACGATGGCTCCAAAACAAGGCTGGGTTTGGGGCCACCTGGACAAAAAGAAAAGCGCGGCTCTCACGGGGCATGCCGGGACTTGAGAGCGCCTTCACCAGTTCCCATAAACAACGGCCATGCTGGCAGAAGAGGAGGAGCATTGTGAAGTCAAGCGCGCCGCAAGATAAAACCGGGATGGACGTGAGCCGGCAGCCCGCGGAGGACGCCCCGCAGCGGCCGTGCGGGCGCTGGCGCTCACCGTCTGCGCCCGGGAACCCCGCGGCAAGATCAATCTCACGGAGCTGCGTTAACCTTCAGCCGCAGTCCCGACGGAAGTGACACCAGCGGCTTGAAATTAGCACGCAAAGACTGCAGCACTCATGGAAAGTTCTAACTGGTTTCCAGCTATGCCTACCGGAAGTCACAGGGGGAAAGGTCTGGCTGACACAGCGAATTAAGTGCTTCTTAGCGAATCGTTTCAGAGAGCTCCCGCGCGGAGCCGGCCCCGTGTGGCTGGCGTCTGCCGGCCGGCACGGCGCGGACAGCAGGCATTAGTCAACAAAACGTTATGAGGGGTTGGGGCGGGCGCAGCGGTGCAGGTGGCTGTGCATGTGAAATGCAGGGAACGGTGACCGAATGAGAGACGTGACAGAACTCCCTCGAGTCGCCGGCGAGTTCCCTGCAGCAAAGGGAGAGAGAGGCTTTACGTTTTTGCAGAGCTGCAGCAGGCCACGGAGGGTCTCGGGCTTCTGACGGGAGGAACTCGGCTCCCGCGGACCAGCGCTGAACACGCTTGGGAAGGCGAGTGGGGTTCGAGTTTACCAAGAGGAAAATGGGGGATTCTGTTAGCTGCGGGCTGCGTGGCCTTGAATGTCTCCCCATGCCAAACACACGCCAGGGACTCTGAGAAGTGGCGGAGATCGTGAGTGAACGCGTGCATGTGTCTGGACTCTGCACAGACCGCCTCCCCGGGGTGTGCCCGCCTTGGCATCTCTTCACCAACGTGCCGCGGACAGAGTGCACAGGACAGGGGTGAGTACCAACGGACGGCTCCAGAGGGGACAAGAAGGTGGCTCTCTTCCCCCTCAAAATGTCTAAAGTTTTAAAATGCAGGCTGCAGGAAGTTGTGTGTTTTGTTTTGTCTGAGACAGGGTTTTCCTCGGTGGTGCGATCATAGTTCACGATAAATCTTAACTCTTGGGCTCAAGCATCCTCCTGCCTCAGCCTCCCGAGTAGCTAGAACTACAGATACGTGCCACCGTGCCCAGCTGATTATCTTTTACAATTTCTTGTAGAGACAAAGTCTCACTATGTTGCCCAGGCTGGTCTCGAACCCCTGGCCTCAAACAATTTTCCCATCTCAGCCTCCCAAAGTGCTGGATTACAGGCATGAGCCACGGCACCTGGCCGAAAGTTTTAGAAACATTAATTTCAGAGAAGCACTGCAAATCTAGATAACCCAAACAACGAGTTATATCGTGTTCCTAATTCCAGATGCAAGGATGCCTGTTTTCTCTTCATTATGGAAGGGATGTGTTCAAATACCTCCTTTTTTAAGAGCTGTTGTAAATCCCTGATTCATTGGAGGCACCATTTTATTATTCGACACAGCAGCCCTTCGAGGTTGTTAAGAAATGAATGAAATACGGAAGAAGGGAGCTGCAGAAATACTTAAGACCAGCGGACACAATGTGACACTGAGCACATCCAACCTGCTTTTTCCTCCCACAAGGAAAAGAGTAGTCAAAAAATGAGAAGCCTGCTTTTAGAAAATGTGGCTTTTCTTTTTCGCAGCTGTGAACTGTGGGCTTTTCGGTAAAATGCAGAAAGAGATACTATCTTTCTTAAAGGTATTTCAGTGTTCAAGGGATGGATGCTGACTTCTGGGACTGTATAAGGTCTACTTTTTCCCTTTTTTGCTTTATACGGAAAGGGACTGTGCACGTCGTGACAGGCGTGGATCGGCGGCACGTTCACGAAAAAGCCTCTATGTTCGCAGGAACCCGGCGGTCTTCAAATCGAGGTGTGCCCAGGGAGCAAGGCATGACGCTGACTGCCTAAGACCAATCACACACGACACCTCGCTGACAACGCCCTTCACCCAACAAGCCACAGTCGACAGGGGCTCACGTGGCTATGGTCATTTTGGGGAAGGCACCAGCACTATTCATGACCTGGCTTGGCATGGCACACTTAGAGAAAATGGGTAGCATGTTTTAAGGTGCTTGTTTGGTTTTATGAATAAGAAAGGCTTAAACAAATGAGCTGAATCTCCAAATCTGATCTGCGATGCTGAGAATCTAAAGGTGATACTAAAAATAGAGTATACATATATTCAAATACACCAACCTGCGTGATTTCCCCATCATTTGCATTGTAACATCCACAGCTAAAAATGAGATTAAATTAGGTTGCCATTTGTTTTTTCACTTCCTGTTATTTTGATTAATGGAATTATTTCTCCGGCTTAACTATTTTAAAATAACATTTAGAATAATAAGAAAAAAACTATTAATCATAGTCTTTAAATTTTGGCAAGGAGTCCAAACACATCAAAACACCAGATTTCGTATTTCAGCACTTGGTCTGGTCTTTTCAATCCCCAAACCAGCTGGGGCTGGGGGATAATTTTTCTTGGTTGCAAAATCATTGTACATTCTAATGTTTAGCAATGATATAATAGAAAAAAATTATTTCTCAACAACACTAAACAAACTTCCTAGTTTTTTTTTCCCTCTAACATCCATAGAACAATAACATCCACATTTCAGCATATTATTGTCAAAAAGTGTTCTTTCTAATGATGCAACGGATGATTACTAGAAACTAAGCATTCATTCAGTTGTGCTAAATATAACATACAACAAAGCCTCTTTAAAAATGACAATATACGTGAGCTCCTCCCCTCACTTAGAGCTTGGTTTGAGACAGCAGCTCCTGTCTTAAACCAGGATACAATGAGCACCAGTGACAAGTGCCTTTGTTCAATCCGGTTCAGAGGAAGCACCCTCAGCTGGATGCCCAATGATGGCTGAACCCTTTTAAGGTTTCCTAGTTTGCTTACGATCAACGGGGAAGAACGAGATGCTCAGAGATGAGACACTGTGAGCACGCCTACCTACCTACCCACTGGAAACCGTGCCGTCTAACCCGGATCTCCAAGCTCTGAGGCTTCAGCTGCCCTCTCCACTCTCACTACCTGTAGGGGGACCGCGTGTCCCTCAAGAAATGACTGCGCGACTACCTGGCTGCTGCCAGGCTTTGTGGGGGCCCCTGAAGTACGTGCCTGTCACGCAGAAGAGGCGTTGCCAAGGAGACTGGCACCAACAACAGGGCAAAAGGAAAACAGTTTACTTCTCCTCCAAGCTCCTCTGTGCGCCGCTGAGAAACTTTACTCTGACCCGCGGTGAATTAAGCCCATCTCAGCAGACACGCCTGGGCCTCGCGCCTGCGGACCTGCTTAGCTGAGAGACGTGGCAATGTTACGACCTCTTAGAATTTCCCAGTCTAGAAAATTCAAATATGACCATGACAACGTCAGGGCAGCTGCTCTGTGGCTCTGCAGGCAAAAGCCAGCGACGGCCCTCCACCGCCCACAGGTGTCCCGGAGAGAGTGCAGAGAACCAGGTAATACACCTCTGCGGACAAAGCCGCCCTCAGCCCAACAGACTGCCTGTACCAACTAACAGCTAGTCGCTTAAACAAAACAAAACAAGAGATGTGTCAGGTCCGGAGCCGAGAGACAGAGACACGAAGTCTCGTGTGTGGCAAAATGCCGTTTACTGATGCAGCCGGGTGGAGGCCAAGAGCGTCCGCACTGAGCCTCGGTTCTGCGGAGGGCTTCTCAGGGGGGAGAGAGCACCTGGGCCAGAACAGCCGCTGCAGTAAAAAAATTTTTTTAGACAACCAATTCTGGGCCCCCTGGGTCAGTCTCGTCCTGCAGAGATAAGGGAGAAGGGTAGTTCCGTGCTTATCAGGGGACAGGAGTGCTGGCTGCAGCTGCCTGTCGGGTTTACAACCTCCGAGGACCCTCCAGACTCCTGCGCTACTGTTTTGCAAGCCTGAGTTTTGCATGAACCGCATTCTGCCCTGCACGTTCTTTTCAGGTTCCCACCTGGAACACACCTAACGAGATGCACACAGGCAGGTTCCGTAAACGCCACAGGACACCAAGTACAGAAAAGAGGCCACTGAGTTTAGTCCCACAGAGTGATCTGCCACGTCTATACGAGCACACACGTGTGTGTGTATGTGCTCACGTGTGTGCACAGCGCGCGCGCTGCGTGTGAGGTCTGCTCTAGTCACTCGGGACAGCTGCCCGTCTGCAGGGCAATATAGCTCACGTGCTCCGTCAGGCACTGGGCGTGTGCCAGCGTGCACACCTGAGACGCAAAGTCCGCAAGGCTGCTGTCATTATGCCACAGACGGGGAGACTTAGGTTAAGCAAACGCACCTCATCAAAGTTGCGCCTTCTACTCAGCAGCCCAATATTTTAACAATTCGCATCACTCAAGTCTCTGAGAGCAGGATTAGCAGGCTTCGAAGGAGTTTGAATGTTGGCAGCTATGAAATATATATTTCCTCCCCCGGGATCTTTCCTCTCCACTTTAAACCCATGCATTCACCTGCCCACTGGAAACCCCAACTCGGCTTTCCAGGAGGCATCTCAAACGTA